GACAAGATGGAAGACAAGGTGACTTTGCAACTTGGAAGAGACAGACACTCCCATATGGGCCAGACCTCAAGACCAAGACAAAAAGAGGAAGCACAGCTACACACTTCCCTAGGGATGGGCAATAGGGATTGATATCCTAAATAGTATCATACAATCAACTTGAAAGAGCCCAAATGAGTCACTAGCCCAGCCCCCAACAGGAAGAGACCCTGTTCCATATTTGTGCCCGCTTGCTACGTGACTCACTCTCCCATTTGATACTGGATTTAATCAATTTTACCTGAGCAATGGTGCTTGTAATCTCATTGGTTGACCATAGTTTTGTCCCACCTCATGCCCAAATAAGCGAGTTCCTATGTCTTCTCCACCACCTCAGACCCACCTCACCACATGGTTTTCCTCTATAAAAGTCCCTGCAAGCAACAACTTCCTGGGGGGAACTACCCACTCAGGCCCCCTCCTCCTGTCCTTCTTGTGGACAGGAGCTTTCTTTCTCTCAATAAATATATTCTGCTCATAATCTCCGTTTGTTCCTAAAATTCATTCTTTGGTTTTAGAGAACACGAATTCGTGCAGGTCAGATGGGGAGATAGTTTTTCTCTATGTCATTTGGAGGCTCCCTATATGGTTTGGAGGTCACCCACCCGAGATCAGTTTTTCTCCCTGTATCAATATGAGAAAAGAAAAAAAAAGCATTATATGACGTAGAACCACAACATTTTGCCCTTGCCTGCTCCCAAAGACTCATACACACCCCTTTGTGCAAAAGACATTTATTGCATCTTGCAAGCATTGCCAAAGTCCTAACAGTTTCAGCACTGCTAAAAAGTCCAAGTCCCAAGTCTCCTCTAAGATTTAAGGTAAACTCTTAGCTGCAAACACCTGTACAAATGAGAAGTTAAACACTTCTAACATTCAATGGCACAAGATAAACATTTTCATTCCAACAGTTACAAACAGGGGAATACAAAGGATTGGAACTAACACAAGTCCAAAGTCTAGTATGGCAAACACTAAGTCCTGTAGTTCCATGACCAGCATCTGAGACAATCTGCAGAAAATTGTGAGCTACAAAGGACTTGTGTGACTGCACCTCTACAGTGCTTCTTGTGGCCATAGCTCCCATAGCTTCTCTCTCAGGCCTGCTTTGTTTTCTCTTTGCAGCTTTCCTTCAGTGACCCACACTCCTGGCTTCTCCAAACTTCTGGGGTCTCCACTGAACCTTTTACTTCACACTTACAGCCTCACAGACCTCCAAAATCTTTTGAAATTGGGGTGGAAGATTTTTTCACCTCATAACTCTTATATTCTGCACACAACTAAAACCAGTACCACATGAATGATGCCAAAGTCTGCTGCCAGCTGAAGCAGTTGCCAGAATTTCTTCTTTCTTGGTGCAATGGGTCAAGTGCCTGGATTGCTGGGCACTCTAAGTACAATTCTGAGAAACAAATTCTCTATGCCTCTGCCATTCTGGAACATGGTGCTTTCTCCTCAGAGCAAAGTCTTTCACTTTTGCAGTTCTGAGGTAGCAAAGATGGAGACTTGCTGCTCCTTGTGACACCCTCAGGCCATCTTATCTATTCTTCTGTTCCTTCTCAGCAATAAGATATGCTCAGCTCTCTGTTTGTAGTCCACAGTTTTACTGGAACTTCCTTTCTAGTCAAACTCACAATGTTTTAAATCATGCTTCTGGGTTCTTTACTCTTGATTCTCAACCTAAATCTGGCTAAAAGCCCCCAGCACCAGCCATGCCACCACCTCAACTTTCAACTGCCTTGAAATTTCATCTGGTAAATTAATTAGTCTACCACCCTTAATCTCAGTGTCAAACAGTCTATGGACAATAGCAAAGTGCAGATAAACTTTCTGTAAATTTTTTATCTAGGGACCTTAGATTAACTCACACTACCTCAGTGACTTTCTATTGGTTTATATTTTATTTGTTGTCTCTTCATCTCTTAGTTAGCACTGTAAAACTGAGCATTTCTCTAATCTTAGTCTCTCCCATAGCTGGGACTATAAGCTTGTGCCATCGTGTCCCACCTTACTGAAGGTAGCTGATAAGGAGAAATCAGGGGCCAGGGAGATAGATCAGTAGAATAAGCGCTTGCCTAGCAAACACAAGGGCCTGAGTTCAATCCCCAGTTCTACAAAAAAAAAAGGAGAAATCATCCTTGATGACACCGATCTTGCTCCTATTGCCACCACAGTTATGGTAGCTTTCATGGCACAGCTCCAGGGCAGCAGAGTATCAAAAGCCTCCTATAGCTCTGAACCAGCACACAGTGGGAGTCCCTTTTTTATTTCTGTTCCTAAACAGAAACTTTGGGGGTATTAGTATTTAATGAATCTAAAGCAGGTTGTATCAAGTTCCAAACTGAAAAGGTCTCAGGAGAAACAGTTTCGCCCTTGTCATGAGCTTAGCCACCATGACCAGTGTTTTCCAGGCTTGGTGCACAGATGGAGCAGCCTATTGTTCACGTTGTCAGTTCCACTCATTCACACAATGGTTCAGCAGGCATTCAGAGATTAAACATTTTAACCCCTTCCCTTGAAGGTAGCCTTAACTAGCAAGAGTTGATCAAGCTGTTATGCTTGAGCATGGCAGGAGTGACAGACTGACTGGGGTTCCCTCAGGGTTATTACTGGAATCAGGCAGGCAGACACACAGACTGTGTCCTCCTCCCTTTAGGGTCCAATGTGAGCCACTTGAGCAGGAAGCCAGGATTCCTTTAGACCTCTGTGGGAGCCTGAGGAATCTCGAGGGTGTGCCTTCCTGTCCATATCTGGAGAGGTACTTGCTTCATTGGCCAGGGCCGCAACCAGTGACCAAAGAGGTCAGCACAACTAGTCTTCCTGGCCTGATGTACCAGATATCACGACAAACAGAAACACCAGAACAACACCCAAGATTTGGAGGCAGTTAACAGCTTTATGTTACACCAGTGGTCCTGGCTAGGCTTACTACCAACAACAACAACAACAAAAAAGAAAGCTAGTCTCCACTCTCTGATGGTCTGGAGGTTCTGTAGGCTTTTGTGGGCAGGAAGTACAGAATTAGAACTTTTTGTGTATTTGTTTGTTTATTTTTGTCTTTTTGAGACAGGGTCTCTATGCAATTCAGGCAGGACTTGAGCTCACTTTGTAGCCCAGGCTGGTCTCGAACTCACAACAATCCTCTACCTCAGCCTCCCAAGTGCTGGGAGTATAGGCATGAACCACTGTTTTGACAAGGTAGGGCTGTCCTGTGACTTGGGGAATAGGTGGGTCAAATGGGAAATGAGATCAGTGTGCTCAAGACGTCTGTGTGGACGAAGAACCACACAGTGGAAGTGAATTATGGGCATCCGTGAACAAGTGAGGAGGCTGTATTAGATGAGCCATATTAGATGATGCTTTTCCGCTTTTATATATCACTCTCACCAATGTTCTCCAGGGCTGACCAGATAGCTCAGTGGATTAAAGCACCCGCTTAGGCAGACACAGGGGCCAGGTGTTCAATCCCTGGTATGCCGCGCTGCTCCCCCCACCCCACCAACCAGTGTGCTGAGATGGCAATTGAGACTGGGTGTGGTGGTGCAGGCCTGTAATCCAGTACTTGGGAAGCTGAACACAGGTGGATCACTACAAGTCCGATCCATGTGGTGAGACCCTCTAGACCCTATACTAAATACAAAAACAAACAAACAAGAGAGATGTTCTCTGCTTGAGTACAATAATGCAAAGGAATTTTACGTTTTGTACGTTAGTGGAATGCCATATGTAGATAAATTATGAAGGTTGTCCCTGCAGTCTTTCTGCTATTACATGGGGGAGACTTTCTATGGTTATTGGCTCCGTGTAGCAAACAGAAATTTCCTACAAATCACACCTTCCTCAGTATCAGTGGCATCTGTCCTTAAGGCCATGAAGGGATGATCACCTCCTTTACTCCCACATACTGCTGATCTTATAGGGAAGGATTGTGGGACCAAGGCTGGTCCCTCTGAGTCATTTGTTTGGCCCTAGATGGGGTTTGTAGGACCTTGGGCCACCTTAGTGGTGATTTGTTCCACATTTTCCAGCTTTGTTTTCCATACCTCTGGATCCCTGGGTTGGCTTGGAAGGGGTTGTTGTTTTTGTAAGCCCCAGGGTTTATGTGATATGGCCTGGGGCCGTCTCCATGTTTTATGTGTTGGTGTCCATTCATTCCTGATTTGTTCAATTTAAAATTGTTTTTCAGGGATTGAAGTTGCCCTGGTTTTCATCTATAATTTTGATATTTCCTTCATTTTCCTTCTGGGGTATTTGTTTATGACAAAGGATGAACATTATACAGTTCCACACACATAAAGTGTTTTGAATAGTCAAATTTAGCGAGACAGAAAATAAAATGGAGATTGCCAGATGGCTGGTGGAGAACACTGAGGAGTCACTGCTGGAATTTCAGTTTGGTACAATGAAAACACAGAGGGTAGAGATGGTTGTACCACAAAGTACATATATTTAGGACCATTGAACTGCATGCTTAAAAACAGTTAAAATGGTATTTTATGTTATGTATACTTCACCACAATAAGAACATGTGGATAGATATTGCCGAGTTATCCCCAGTGAGACTTTAGCGCTTAGTTCTCACACCTTGGTGTACAGGGCCCTGCTTAGGTTTTTCACAATTTCTGACTCCAGTGTTAGTCATTAGTGGTGGCCCAGAGGACACTGGTGGATATGAAGGACAGTAACAGCATAGAATGGTCAGTTTTATAAGTGAGAAGAATCCCCAGGAAGGGGCACTAGACAGGCCGCTCTCTGTGTCTTTCTTGGTTTTGACTATGTCTGAGCTTCTTTTCTCTTACAACTTCTGTCCTGCAATGGTTTCTCCCAACCCTGCTGCTTTCTTTTGCTTTAGTCATCCCTTACTTCTCTTGGTTAGGAAAAAAAAAAAAAAATCCAAACATTAGAAATTCAGAAAAAAAAATTGCATTCTCTTTCTTTTTCTTTTTCTTTTTTTTTTCTTCACTGTTTCAGTCTATATAACAGCCTATCTACAGTGGGGAGAGTGCTGGAATAGGTTAGACTTTCTTGCTGTAGCAAACTCAAATTGTGTCAGACCGCTGCATTCTCTTTCAATAATATATGACTACTGTGTCACTACCCACCTGTGTTTGACCTACTATCTGCAGCTGATCAGGCTCTGTAAAATTAGATTCTGTGTGTGAAAAACTGGTAAATTTTGCAAATGACTTATTCTCCCAGTGGAGATGTGATTTTTGGCTGGTAAAAATGGTGAGCCCAAATGGTACATCCACCATCCGAACATTAACCTGTTTTGAACCTAAGTCAACCATTTTTCAGTGTTTTTTTTTAATCTTTCTTCACTGTCTACCCATACTTAAGACTATTCTCTGAAGTGGCATTACCATCAGACTGGCTCCCTCATTAGTCAAATGAGCAAAACTTTGATGGAATTACTCAGTATTTATAGGAGAGTTACATTAACGCAAATCTCAGGAAGCCATTGTTTTGCACTAACCTCCTGTGATACCCTAACAGACCAGGCTAAAGATGAAAACAGAGTTGCTTGAGCTAATGTTCCACACCAAAAAATACAACTAAAGTATTTGACCTTCTAAAAAATCAGAAGGTGGGGGCAGGGAGGTAGATTAAGTGCTTCCCTGGCAAGCGCAAGGGCCTGAGTTCAATCCTTGGTTCTGCAAAAAATAAATAAATAAATAAAAATAAAAAATCAGAAGAGAAAGATACTAGTCAAATTCTCAGACAATACATTTTCAGTAGGCATGATAATAAAATTCTATTGTTTAGTTGGTTAGTTCTTTTGTTTTTATGGTACCAACAATTGAACGCTGGCCTTTCCCACTGAGCTGCCCAAATCCTTTCTTTTCTTTTCTTTCTTTCTTTCTTTCTTTCTTTCTTTCTTTCTTTCTTTCTTTCTCTCTCTCTCTCTCTCTCTCTCTCTTTCTTTCTTTCTTTCTTTCTTTCTTTCTTTCTTTCTTTCTTTTGACAGGGACTAACTAAATTGCTAAATGGCCTGGGCTGGGCTCCAGTTTGTAATCTCCTACCTGACCCTCCAATGTAGATAGCATGACAGACCTGTGCCACTATCCCCAGCCTTCTGTTTCAATTTTCACTAAAAAGTAACCTGAAATAGCCTTATGTTAACCAGTTATTTTTCTCCTGTTCTGTTTCCCTGCCCCCACCTTATAAGGAAAGTATCTTTGATATAAACAATCTGTTCTTTGTTCCTTGTTTCTAGTTTTGCTCTTCTCACTGGGACACTTACTCGGTTTCTCAGGAAGGAGTATTGCCTGATTCTAAAATCACAGATAAAGCCAGTTGAGACATTTACACTAACTTATTGTATTTTTATCCTTTCACAGTTATGTTCTTAACTTACTGAAAATTGCATCTGCCAGACAGGAAATAAGAAGAAAGAATTCCAGAAGCATAAGAAGAGGCAGGTGCACAAGGCAGTCATGGATGGCCCTGTAATAGTAACAGTATCACCTGCCTGTGCCTTGTCCCCTGTTACAGTTTGTGTCTAGCTGTCCCCCCAAAGCCTCATGCAGTTATGGGGCCACTTCTAGAGTTTATGATTAATTCATGATTCAGTGTAGAAATATAGATTTGAGACAAAAGCCTGATGTCCCAAGAGAGCAGGGAACAATAGACAGAGCCCGAGGAGAGTTGCTGTCTGTCTGCAAATTCCCGGAAAGCTGGGATTCATGGGTGCAGATAACAGCTTCTCCTGCAGGCGCCCTGTCCTTTGATTCCTTGCTTGGGATGTTATTGGCTAGCATTTGTGTGGACCTAGTGTTAGGCACATGGTGGAAGTCAATAGAGATAGTAGTTTGTATTCACTTAAGTAATTAAGCACATTCCTTAGTCTGCCTTTACCCCTCAATAAATGTGAGATGCTTCTGAGGCTCTGGGCTCACTTGGAGAGAGACTAATCTCATTGAGACCTATGAAGCTACATTCATCAGGTCTTCTCCTCATTTCTTTCGGCACCAACCCGTAACATACAACAAGTGGCGCCCAACATGGGACATGGAAGACGACCAGGGTGAGTTAAGAGAGGCCTGACCATGTGGGAAACGTTTGCCCAGAGTAGGCGAGACCACCGGGAAAAGCTCAGAGTAATGGGGAACTCCGCTTCAGTAGAGAATGAGTATGTCCGTCTTATTCGGATGTTGCTCAAAGGAGCGGGTGTAAAGGTGAAACCAAGGAGTTTCAAGGAATTATTTTCCTTTATAAACAGGCACTGTTACTGGTTTCAGCCTAAGGGAAAGGCTGCTTTAAACTTAAAAGTTTGGAAGCAAGTTATGAGAACGCTGTGTCATGCTCATCAAAATGGGGAACCAATTCCTCTTCATGTGTGGGCTCTTTGTAGTTTAATCTCTTTAGCTTTGGAGCCATTGCAACCGGACTCAGAAGAGTCTAAGAAAAATTTGAGGTCAGTTTCAGATGCTGATATTCCTAAACCTCAAGAGCAGCTTTCTCACAAATATGAATCTGCACATGAGACCTTTTTAAGACCTCTGCCTTCCTCACTCTCCAATGTAGAGGCCAGTATAGCAAAAAGAACAAAAACAGCAGGGGGCCTCTGTGTTGCATAATTATGTTAAGGTTGCACCCCCTCAAGATCCCCTACAAGAAGGCGCTCCCTAGCATACCAAGAGTGTTGGTCCTTTAAATTTCTCGATGCGCTACATTGAGGATGTGTCTGACAAACCAGCTCCTAAAAGGACATTTATGGCATCACAGACCATCTCCTCAGAATCTGAGGATTTGGAGTGTGTAGAACAAAAGGAAACTAAAAATGAGATAAGTGACCTGCGAGCCAAGGTAAGGCAATTATCACAATTGATTTCTAAATTGATTGAAAAAATGGAGGTCTCTAACCCTGTACTTCCTCCATTTCAATTCACAAAAAATCATGCCCTACTATCATCTTTTAACCCTTCTGCTCCTCCATATGAGAAAAAGGAAGGTCCCATAAAAGTGTACAGAAGTGTGATATCTCAGGCTCTCATGCAAGGGAGACAGCAGGGAGACCCTGAAGCTTATTCTGCCCCTCTGAGTATTTTTCCTGTGGTGGTCCAACAACACCCCCCAAATGCTCAATTTCCTCAGGGTTATGTGCAGTGGGAACCCCAACCTCTGGCATTCAAGGTTATTAAAGATTTAAAGCAGGCTGTCATGGCCAATGGTATGCAATCAACCTATGTGATTGGATTAATACAAGGATTAGCAAATGAACAGAGATTAATTCCTCATGACTGGGAAGTTTTGTGCCATACAGTTTTAGAGCCAAGCCAATATTTGCAGTTTAGAACTTGGTGGAAAGATGAAGCAGATGTTCAAGAGAGGGCTAACAGGGGACAAAATCCCCCAGTTCACGTTTCATCAGATCAGCTCACGGGGTCAGGGCCTGACTGGGTGTCCAAGCCCAGCTGCAATATGATGATGCAGCATTGCGCACACTCGCATTTGTCACTTGAGGGCATGGGAAAAGGTGGCAAGGCCAGAGGATGCTCAAAAGTCATTTGCTAGAGTTCTCCAATCTAATAAGGAGCCATATGTGGATTTTGTCTCCCTATTAAGGGAGGCTACACACAAAACAGTGAGAGCACCAGATTTGAGGGAGTTATTGTTACAAACTTTGGCTTTTGAGAATGCCAGTACTGTGTGTCAAAAGGCTCTGCATCCCCTAAAGGCACAGGGTGCATCACTGGAAGAGTATATTAAGGCCTGTGCCCATATGGGCTCAGAGCCATACAAAGTTAATTTATTGGCAGCTGCCTTACAGTCTTTTTTTTTTTTTTTTTTTTTGTGGAACCGGGGATTGAACTCAGACCCTTGCACTTGCTAGGAAGTGCTTATTCCACTGAGCCATTTCCCCAGCCCCCTTACAGTCTTTTTTTAAAACAATCTCATACCAAATGTTTTAAGTGTGAAAAGATGGGTCATATGAGAGAAGATTGCAGAAAAGGACAAGATAAAAAGAAAAAAGCAGATAAGAGTCACAAGGCTGCTCCAGGACTTTGTCTGAGATGTGAAAAAGGTAAACATTGGGCTAATGAATGCCACTCCAAACTTTTTTTTTTTTTTTTTGCGGAACCAGGGATTGAACTGAGGCCCTTGTGCTTGCCAGGGGGAAGTGCTTATTCCACTGAGCCATCTCTCCAGCCCTGCTCCAAACTTGATAAGCATGGCCAACCCTTACCATCTCAGGGAAACTGGAGAATGGGTCCATCTTCCAGGGGCTCAGAGATAAACAATATGGAATACTTGCAGTTTCCTTTGGCCAGCCTGAATTTCAATCAAACGCAGGATCACAGATCTTTTCCATGCAACACCGGAAAGCGGAAGCACACCTTTAGATCTGATTGCTGAGGAAAATTAGCATTTGCTCCCCACCTGTGTTTACAAAATTAAAACTGGAATTTTCAGCCCTATTCCAAACGATACTGTAGAAAGGAGTAATAGTATTGTAGAAAGGAGTAGTGTTACTCAAGGTATATTTGTACATTTGGTAATTATTGATAGTGATTATGAAGGAGATAGATTACTTATGATACCTACTACTAAACTTCTTCAAATTAAAACTTAACTGCTTATTAAAAATAGAAGTCAGCTTCTCTTTATTATGTATATTAGAATGCTTACTGCATTGCCTGACCCTATGGTCAGCAGAAAACAACAAAAGTTTTGTAAAAAAAAAAAAAAAA